GGTGCCTACCCTAAAATGCACCTCACCCATGCACCTAGGCACGCCTTTTAAATCACTGATCAATCCAAACAAAATTCCTTCTTGCCAAGTTTCCAATCCAACCTACCACAAGCAAACACCTTCCAAGCCTCACGTCACAACTACACAACAAGCAATCAGCTTAAAACCTAAGAATAACATCTACATTTTCTCTATTTTTAAACATGAATAAGAACAATCCAGCATTCAATTTCTAATGTCAACAAATCTCAAACTGCACCATTCTTCTTTTGCCCATCCCAAAACATTAATTTCCTCCATATCAAAATTGATAAGCCTACCCACCAAGCATGAATCCATCCATTTTAATCTCTTCCAATTTGCCAACATCTTCCATAGCAACTCCTACCATTGTAAACCTTGAAATCTAGAATATTGATAGAAATGAGATGGACTCTAGACATCATTCGCAAAGCACAGTCAGTCTTAAAGAAATGAGATGTTACGGGATTTGCATAGGAATGATGATTGATAATCCCCTTAGAAAATCTATTACTTGTTTCCTTAGTATTACAATCTTCATTTCTAATCCTATCCTTTCTAGTTTTTCCACTCAGTCGTTTTTGGGACATATTGTTTCTTGACTGCCCAACACTTTGCTTCATGCAGCATAGCTTCCCTTACAGCTATTTTATGGAATTTTCCTTTTAATCTAAGTAGTATTTGCCTATCACATAAAAACTTTGGATGCAACCCTCCATTTTGCCCTTCTTGCATTAATTCTATGGGAAAAATCCTCCACAATCCCTTCCTGCTTATGAATTATATAACCAAGGTACCAAGAAAGATCACATTGAATTATCTCTTGGTCTCCAATCCCAAGTGCACCCTGATTTGCACTCCTATTATTATTAATTTTTTTTTATAATTGCTCGTATTATTATTAAATTTTTTTATCAATCCTATTATTACTAAATTTACATATCATGTATTCTATTTTAGTCCTACTTATTTTAAAACCTCTTGTTTGTCCGTAAGTTCAATTTTGCATTTAATCATTCATTAGTTTCATCAATCATCAATTAAAAGACATTACCCAATGTTGATCCCATGTATCTGGGGTCATAGGAGAGATAGATATTATTTGTTTTTCATATTAAATAAAAATAAACGTTAGTGCAGAGAGCTGTGGGCAAGCTGTTCTCTTGGGTATCAATTACTGAGGAATTTAAACACCTGAATTTGTCTCACTTGTTTTGGTCTCAGTCTTGGTGGAGTCTGTAACCTGATTTGCTCTTGGGCTGTCTTTTGGTCTAGGTATTGTTTGTATTTTCTCCTCTTTGATTGAATAAATTTACCTTACCTTTTCCAAAAAAAAAATTAAATAAAAATAAGCGTGACAATGAGAATTATTTTTATTAATGATGGAAATGGCTAAAAATACAAAAATAACCAGAAAAAAAAGAATAAATATCTAACTTGTGACTGGGCCAAACAGCTCAGCAGTTCAACCAGCTAGATTACCAAGTTGCTGACTGGGCCAATGGTTTTTTACAGGTGAGCAGTTCGGGGGTGAAAGAAATATAGCCAGATGATGAATTAGCCAGTTCGATTGAAAGTCGAAAACACTGTTGTAAACAGAAACTACAAACTTTTATCATAAATATACACATTATCAATTAGTGATATAAAGATCATATCATATCAGTGAAGGACACTAATATGCAATGGTGATTCTGCAATGGTGGTGAAATGGCTAACAGAAGACAGTGCTATGATGTGGAAATACAGCAATGAAAAGAGGAAATATAAATGGTTAACCAGGGACATGGAAATTCAATGTAATTGGATAAAGAGAAGTGCAAATGCATTGGCTGATGGTCTAGCTAGGCAAGGGGTAAATAGAGACACATTATTCTGGGCTGTTCCGTAACCACTACAAGATCAGAAAGTTCTTGGGTAACTGGAGTTAAGACCTTTTAGCTCCATCCTGTTGTAACCTTGTTTTTATAATTAATAAAATTTCACTGTTACTGATAAAAAAAATGGACACTAATATACATATCATGTCCTTGGCTCCTTGCAACCCTGTTATACAAGTGACATCCTCTATTCAGAAGGGTGGAGCAATCAAGAGCTGTGATCAAAACAATACAAAAAGAGTGTAGATTGTGGGAGAAAGAGTAGGAAGAAAGAAGAAAAAAGAGAAGAAAAGACAATGGCTTCAATCTCACTAATTGAACAACTCAATATGTTACATACCACCATAAGGAGAACTATAATAATTAGGCCTGGCTTACCTAGAATATCCAAACAATTTAGATTTAACAACTCCTTTTGTGAATACATTACTAGCTGATTCTTGACTTTAAATGGTAGGCACACTTTTCCACTAGCCACTTCCCCCTAATAAAATGGTGGTCAACCTCGATGTGTTTGGTTCTTCACACTGAATTGGGTTATGAGATATGTTAATTACTAGCTGATCATTGCAGATTTGCAATAAAGTTTTATACACAATATTACCAATCAAAAAAATTTTCTGAAACTCCAAGAGCAATTTCTTTGTATTCAGTTTTAGTACTTGATCTTTCATCAACCAATTGTTTCTTGCTACTCCATGACACCAAGTTACCACCAATATTACTGATAAAAAAATTGTTTCTTCAGGATCCCAGTGCCTGTGGCTAGGAGATTAGAGAAAATTGTTTGTGAGCATCCATGAATGTTCAGCTAATGCAACTCACCAATTCTTACAAGGATCCCATATACCTACTTTTTAGATTCTACACTTCAGAACCCAAAAAAAAAAAAAACCTGCAAATATGTGATCTACTGACCACCAAAATCACTACAATCCCACCGTGTATCTCCACTATCTGTAACCACATAATCTTTAATAATCCCAAACGGAGATCAGGGAACAAATCACATCAAATATGCCAACAAAACTCAGGGATTCCTTAATCCTCAAATTATAGATCTTGTCAATGAGCTTGTTTTCTCTTTATCACGGGGCTTTAAAATAATGAAGATTAAACAAAATTCTCAGGGGGTTATTGGATGGATGATTGGAGATGATCCCTGGTTGAGATACAAGTCAGATTGCCTGAGTTGAAATGTTTCAACTATGTCAAACTTGGGTTCGGACTCAAGTCCATTCAAAATTTCATTAATATTCAACCTAAGTTGTACCCCAACTCCTGACAACTGCACCATCACCATTATAGAGGCTAGAACCCCAAATTCTAAAGTAAACAGCTTGTTTGAAACTTCAAATGGATTCCAAGGCAGGCTAATTGGATTGTTGACAACTTGGGCATGTTTGGCTTTGGGAGGAGATGCATGACTGGGGTATATACCATGCAGCCCATGCTACCTTGGCTTGTCCATATTTCTTTTGAAACTGTGTACCCTTATTTCCTGTTTTGGTTAGTCTCTCCTGAGGAGTATCAGTAATGTTGTACATGTGTACTGGTTTAGCTACTTGTACCCTTATTCTTTTTGATGAATAAGAATAAAGAAAACATTTGCAACAAAACTTGGTTAGTCTCTCCTAATTCTTCCACTCAAGGTTAAGTCTTCAGTGATGCACTTCTTTCTCTCTATAATAGCAATCTCATCCCCTACTCCCGTAAAGATTGGGGTACAAGTCGGCTTGCCCCTATTTGAGGAACTTCAATCACATTGGCTCAGGATTGGGCTCGGGCCAATAAAAAATTCATCAAGTTTCCAACACAACTCAACCCAAGTTGGACCCCTACATACAGAAAAAAGCAAAGAAGTTCAGTGAAAGGAGGAGAGGGCTAAAAGATTCTTATATGTAAAAAGCTAGTTATCTTGAACAGGACCATGAGTTCTTCACACATGCTTGTTTGCTAAAACAATTACATGGGAAGGTAAAGACACCAAAGTGAAATTTAGCTTTCATCCCACTACAAACTAGGAGTTGTATTTTAATTCCAACATTAACCTAGTTCAAATCAGTATTTTAAAAGGCGTGGGAGGTTTACACCTGGAGACGCACCTCCAGGCAAGGTGCCCCAAAACACCTTGAGGCATACACTTCGGGTGCAAGAGCCACATGCCTCATATGCCTTTTTCATGAGGCGTGCTAAGGCGAACACCTCATGTGCCTCACACACACCTCATACAAAGAGACAAAAGAAAAAAAAGGTAAAGTCAAGGAAAGGAAAAGAAAAGAAAAGGAAAGGAAAAGGAAAAGAAAAAGGAAGGAAGAGAAGAGAAGAGAAGAGAAGAGAAGAGAAGAGAAGAAAGGGGAAAGAAAGAGAAGGGAAAAGAAAGTTTAGGTTGGGGGCTCTGCCACTCGCTTCGCTCACTTGCCTTTGCTTCAACAAGACCCCCCCTCCCCATCTAGTTTTATGCATCTTCATTCTTCTTAATATAAAAAGATTTTTATAAAAATAAATAAAAATGAGATCCTCCATCCTCTTCTTCCTCCTCCCACCTCCTCATCCCCATCCTCTCAAGGAGGCTTGTGCCTCCTTGTGTTCGGCAGGCTTATGCCTCTTACGTTTTGTTTGAACTATGCCTCATGACTCTAGTACAGAACACCTCGCATCATGCCTCCACATTTTAAAACATTGGTCCAAATATATTACAGGTGGATGGCATTTCCAATCCAAAGAGGTCATTCCAAGCATGAATTTGGGGCTCTCTCTATCCCTAGATATCCATTTTGTTTTGCTCAACTTCACCCATAGCATACAGAAAGCATAAAAGCAAAGCATTAATAACTCAAACAGAACTGATTCATTAAATATACAATGGATGCAAAATCCAATCCAAATGAAATGAATAGAAAAATCAAATTTCTTAAAACTCTACATTTTATGCAACTATGCGATAGCAAAAGTTCATCCGTTGTTACACTGCTAAATAAAATGAAAGTTGACCGGTGGCTACCAATTATTGATATACCCTGAAACAAGAATGTTATACCTCGCTTTACTAAAATCAACAAAATGCCACATCAACTACAGAAGAACCTGACAACTTACCTGGAGGCTTATAAGGCGGATCTGGTGTTAAGTGGAACTTTTGATAGTTGCGAAGGATTTCATAAACTTCATTTGGCCGGAGCCAACGGTGTTGTGCTTCTAACAATATTTGTGTAATGTCTGCCAAATGCATGTAAGAAGAGATAGTAAGAAACACTATCTTTCATTTGATAGATGAATATAGTGATGAGAATATCCCTCAGAAGTGGAGGTAGCAATAAAATACGAGATACATTATATCGAAATACATTGTGAGTACAAATATTGGAATTTATCAAGTGAAGTATGTCATTTCTGCTGCCTTGATTTGGAAGTTTAGGAACCACGCCGTCCATAACTGCCAATTTTGACAGTTACCAAATGCGTACTCTGGAGAGAGGTAAAGGGTCATACACCTCAACAGTCCCACTATTACAAGCAGCTTGCAAAGTACTGGATAAGGTGAACAAAAATATAGAATGAAATGAAAAAGAAAATATCATTCTTCGTATATGGTTTTCAATTACAGAAGCTGAAACACATACAAAAGTTGCTATAGAGCGAGGCAATATCAAGACATTAAGAAATAAAGGTAGCAGAGGAAAAGGAAAAAGTATATTCATCCACCATTCTCATACTTGGCATGCAAACTAAATTATTGATCACCATTACCAAAAACAAACATGTGCACGTGCATGGAACAGGCCAAAAATTTCAATTCGGCACAAGAACACAAGAATTACAGTAGACGGGTAGAAAAAGCTGACCTAATTGTTGATTTGAGGCATATCTTCTGCTCTCAGCCATTCGCAAGAAAGACTAGGACAGGAACCCGCTTTCATCAGCAGAACATGCGATTGCAGACGAGCAAGAGCGAAAACAAGCTTATGCAGAGAATAATCTCAGGGGAAAAAAAAAAAGAAAAGAAAAAGCTTCGACCAATCCACTCTCGGTCGAAAATCATAAAACCGTAAGAAGATGAAAAACAACCTTCGTCCAGAAAAGTGCAGATGGAGAGAGAGAGAGAGAGGTAGGACAGTGATCAATGAAAAAGACGATCAGAGAGAGATTCCATAAATTAAAACCCTAATAAAAGCTTCATGTGGCCCCTCGACTGCTCGACATAGGAAAAGAAAAAGAAAGAAAGGGCAAAAAAGAAGAGAGCGATGGAGAACAACCGTCCTTATATGAAGCGAATCAAAGCCACTAAAATATTTCAGGAGAGAGAGAGAGGAAAGTCAAGATCTTTATCCAGACCGAAAAACACCCATTTTTGCATTCTACCTGTTCGAAGAGAGAAGTGGGGGACTGGCCAGCTGCTGGTCGAAATGTAAATTTACAATTTAACCCAGCCGTTAACAGTACCTGAGCCTGGCTCCTGTTATTGCCCTGGCCAGAAGTACCACACGTGGCAGCTTTGTTGGAGTAACGTATTGACCACGAAATCTTTCATGTCCCACGACCCAGCAATATGTGGTGGTGGGTCCATCAAGCATGATGTCAGTGTAATTGGGCCCACCCAAGTTGCAATCTGACGTTAAGTCGAGATTGGGCATATCATGAGTCCCTAGCAAATAGATGTAGGGAAGCACGTATAAAATGTTTTCCCTCGACATGAGAGGGATCACGATCAGGGTCAGGGATGGCTTCGGTGGAACGTTGGGCCCCGCTCTAGAGCTCTTCCTCATCCTCGTCATCATTAATGAAGTTAAAAAAAAAAAAAAAAAAAAATTGAAGGGATCTGACGTGGTCTGGGGATTTGAAGTTTGAATTATATATGAGAATGATTACAGATCCAATCCCGCAAGCTGGAGGGCAAAATGTCTGCGAATTAGGATAGAGATGGCGTGAACGACCATCCAACGGTGATGGGTCATACCGTTTTCCGTCGACAGATAAATAACAAATGGAATACGTTGTACTTTGAATCGTAATGTTATTCAAGGACCTGAACTTATAAAAAAATATACATGCGAGAAGGGTCATTTATTAAAACACTCCAAATTTATTAAAATCTACACATAGTTGGTGTTTTATTAAAACACTAGCAAGGGGCGCCCGTGAGCGAGTTGTTACATGACTTGAGTATAGAATAATTTAATAAAATAAAGCAAATTTCAATAATTTAGGTAACAAAATCGCAATATGCCAATGAACCTAACCAAAACATTAAGGCTAATAGGATCTTCCTGCTCTTATAAGTTCCTACTTCCTACCAATTCCAAGGAGGCCCAGACTCCAAAACATTTACCATTATAAAACACAGCCATTAAATTATCAACGAGATGACGAAAATGGCACCAGAACTTGGAAGTAAAACAAGAACGAAAGAGAGCTTTCCACCGACTTCCATTACCAGGCAATACCTTGCAAGAATTAACCTCCGTGAGAACAGACCACTAAGGATTATATTTCTCTCTCTGCACTGTGAGTTCAACGGTCAGAAAGTCTAGAAAGTTAGAATATCTACAACCACTTCTCTCTAAGCTTTTGAAACCAGTTTACATTGAAAATTCCTTGAGATGATTGTTTACTTTTACAAGGGTAGTATCTTCTGAATTCAAAAATTTTCCATTAAGTTCCACTTTATCTGTAATTTTAAAACTCTTTAAAGAATTTTCTGGATTGACCTTAATCTTAACTGGTTTCCCAAGCTTGGATTTATCTTCCATTCTTGCAATTTCAAGAGCCTTTGCACAGACAGGGAAGCCTTGGCCATACCAGCACGCCAAGATTGTGCCAGAGCCTCTATGCAAGTTTTTCCTTGGTAAAAAGGCTGCAAACTGCCCAACAGCCAAGCTTTGATCATCCTCAGATAAATGAACAACAGCAGTAGTTCTGCCACCATCTTCACCAGTATCCATTATTAAACTACAATCATAAAAGCCAGGACCATGTCGAACCTGAAATTTGTACATCATCTAATTAAATTATCAATAATCATAATTACATTAGAAGCACACACGAATAGATTTATTTGATGTTAAATCTCATCAAGACAGAATAAACATCATTACCAAGAGTAGAAAACACATTATATGCATTGCAATAGTTTGCCTGTGGAAACTATTACCAAGAACTGGCAAGGTATGGAAAATAAGAAATAAAATTGGGAATTCCTACCTTGCGTTGAATCTTATTCAACTGATATGGAGGCAATCTAGCAAGCCATTTCAGGGATCCAACATGGAATCTGCGCCTTCTTTTGTCAAATGAATAATAATTTATTGAGACATTTCATGGGTAAAACCATTCATTAGATAATAAAAACTACGACCACCATGTAGAAAGAATAATCTCGACATACAAGACTGGTAGGAGCATATTATTAACACTAATATGATAGGATATAAGAAGTAAAAGGGAAGAGTTTTGGGGTGATTAAAATTACTGGACTTTGTTAATCAAAACTACAAAGAATAACCACTGCATCCAAAAGGGAAGAAAACATACCAGAGTCCTCCAGGAAGGCGTAGACCTTGGCGTTGATCAATAGTATAAAACCAAAACCCCCAGTGTTTCCCAAGAAAAGCCCCTGTTTCATCTTCCAACAAGATGCCTTCCATCTCCCTTAAAGGTTTTCATTTGGAATAAGGATTTAAATTTATTAAGAGAATTTCTGTCCATATATGTTCAACTTAGCCCTTAAAGGTTTTCATTTGGAACAAGGATTTAAATTTGTTTAATCACTGCCATCTAGGACTCCTTCAAAGATCTCTCTGAGAACCCTTGTTAGATCAGTTAATAGGTGCAGATGCTTGAGATACAGCCTTAAGGTTCAGTCTCAGTTGTCTCGAGGACTGCCACCAAAAAATAAAAAATAAATAAATAAAAATAGAGATAGTGTATCGGGTGGAAGAACTGAAACAACAAAACTCCAACTTTCACAACGCTGCAGACAGAACAATATACTTAAATAGGAATAAGTTAAATAACGAAGTTTGGAGGGGGAATCTGATCTAAGAAAAAACCACATTAATATCAATAGCCTGCAAAAATTTCCCGAGGAAACAACTCAAAGCAATAAGGAGGGAAAAAAATGATAACTGCAACTTTGCAGATTAGAAATGAAAAATGAAAATTGTTTGGTCAAGTCGTATACAGACATCAACGCCAAATGAAAATTGTTTGACCAATCAAAACTATAGCAGTGCAAATGATTCGAGGGTAAATTCTGAGCTATTTTTGTTTCAAATTTTAGCTTATTTTGTTTGATTGCAGTACAAATGAAGTAAATTGTACTGCATACATTTATACTAATGCACTCCCATATATTTATACTAATGTATAAATAAAACACAAAATAAAATGAAACCAGAATTTGCATTTTTTTTATTTGCAGTCCCATACATTTATACTAATGCAAATAAAATTGCACTGCAACCAAACACAGCCTTAAATTATTAATTAGTGGATATTAGATTATTAATGTTAATTATTATATATAAATATAATCAACTCAAAAGAATATAGAATATAACTGAAGTAGTTTGTGTAAACAGTATAAATTACAAGGGGCCCTACTTACTATATGCAAATATCTTGGCCTTAACCTGGTGACTGAACCCATGGCCTTAATAGTCAGAGATCATGCTTTTGTGCTTACCTTAGGAACCGGAGGTGGCTCAACTGCACATGCTTTTGTAAGGTCATTGCAGAGAAACTTTACCAATGCATCAATCGAAGGCTTTGCTTTAAAAAGATATTCCGCAACATCAGTGTCAGAATAACCCATAACCTGGAAAACGTTTAAATAAAGGTTCAGTTATGTTACAAGAAAATGTATACACCTGATTGATTCACAATCTCAAGAGCTAAAGTTAAGGTCATTGCATAGAAGTGCTAAGAAAATGCATAAAGACTGATAGAGCAATTCGAGGGATGATTCGATATTTTATTTCACAATTGGAAAATGAGGAGACGCATTTCAAGAGAGAGAGAGAGAGAGACTCAAGCAATTGAATAAAGTTCTGAAAAAATTTCACAGGATAAAGATGACAATTTAGAGAAGCAAAGAGACATGTGAGTATGTATTTCAAGCTTCAACTATTGAAGCAAGATAAAATTTTCTTTGTTTCTTTTTTTATCATGTGTGTGATTAACTAAGAAAATTCAAAATACGTGCTGGTCACCCTCACCCCATATTCGACTATAAACAATATCATTAGAATTTAGAACCAGCTTCCACCCAGTTGGCAAGGGTGATGTGAAAGATATAGATGAGACAAGGTAATGACTGACAATGCTTACCAAGAAAGTTAGGATGTGGGAATTGGCCTAGCAGGGGAAAGATAAAGGATTAAAATTTAAAGCTGTGTGATTGGTGATGACAAAGCAGTTCAGTTGTATCTTGAACTTCCTTCTCTCTCTTCTCAAAAGAGATGGTGGTGGCCTTAACCACTGAACCAGAGCATCCTGATTCACATCCTTAGGCTCTGCTTGGTTTATTCAGAAAACAAGAGAAAAGAAAATATCTTTCCCATATCTGCTTGGTTCAACTATGACATGGGAAAGATATAATACTGGAAAAACTTTAGGCCTCTGAGGACTCCGAGGGAGAGATTCAAGCAGTCSATGCCGCAGGTTATTGTCATTCTGATGCAAAAATCCAAACGTTAGCCGTATCTAAGACCTAGAAAAGTAGATCAACTGCAATCAAACAAGTGGGTATATAAACTATTCTCCAATTTCAGCAAGTCAGTAGGCAACCTTCGTTTCTGGAAGAAGTGTTATTTGAGCGAACACCTCATCTGTTTCCTTTTCCGCTTGCAAACCAAGAAAAAACCAGCCAAGAACGTTATTAGAAAACGAAATATCGACCACCTCCCACCCGAACTAAAGGTGGGGAGCAGAGAGAGAAAGATACACAGACAGACTGACAGTGAGACAGACCTTTAACTCAACATTTACAACTGTGCACAGAATGTTGGAAGGTATATCGTAGATGGGCATTTTCAGATCATTATCAAGCTTTGAGAAGGCCTTAACCTACAAAGAATTTAGATAGTTAATACAAACTGAAAAGAAAACAAATGATTATTGTACAGCACTGAATACTCAGATCACAGGAATGAAACAGTGAAAGAGATACAAGAAAAAAAAAGACCTGCTCGATGTGTCTGGGAGGTAGAAGACCTTCTCACCGACTCGAGGAACAACGGCGAGGGGGCCTGCGCATCTCGATTCCAATAGCCATTCGTTCATCCAGCATGTCCCTTTCCCAGTCCTTGCTTATCACAACAAGGGGCTCTTCCAGTGTTCTTCTATCCCTCTTAAACAAAGCATGGAACCAAGAAAATCAAAGTTTTAAGCTCCAAGATTTTTACAACAGAGAAAAAAAATATCGCTTAACTAAATCCTAAAAATTAAAAACCAGTAATGAAGAATGTTTGAGAAGGAAAACCCCATGCGTGAGTGAAAATAATGGAATGGAGTCACTTGGGAGTGGAAAAGCCAGCAGTTCATGAAAGCTCAATCAAAAAAGGCAACGAAGAAAGCCCTCAATCTTTTGAGAGTGTTGATGAAGGACTCAGTTCCACCATACTGCACCGCCCAGACCGCTAGAACAGAGCAAAGGAGGGAAAAAGTATTGACAATTGTTTTTCATGCAATGAGAAGGTATTGCCACTTGTTTTTCATGCAATGAGATTGTAATTCACACTGTTAATTATTGTATTTTTTTATTATTTTTTTGTCCTTTTTCTCATTTCTTATTTAGCTATGAGGATCAATTCCCTAAACATTGAGACGTAGTCTTTGGAAATCTCTAATCCCAGTCCAGTGAAGTTAAATCAATCGGATAAGTACAAACGCATCCATTCAACAGGCTGAAACAACTAAAGAAATATGATTCTGATCATCAACTGAGTGAACGAAGCAAATCTCACAGTCGAATAAATTTCTAAACACCACAGATATTATAACTACTGCTAGGAAACAATTAAGCAAGAAATGTAATAGGATCTGCAACTCGTTCAAGAAAAAGAAAACAGGATAAAATACGATGAGATCAATGGCCCTTTTAATAGTAAAATCAAGTGAAGAAAAAAAAGAAAAATAAATAAGCATGGAAACTATTGATTTTCCTCTTTTAATTACTGCCAACACGTTCGCTACTCCTAATTACCGACTCCAAAATCAATTACAGGGGTTTATTATCAACTATGGCGTCAACCAAACAATTACAGAGGATGGTTCCCCAGTACCTCATTGCCGCCTCTGTTGGTTGACAACCAGATGCAACATTAGAGAGAAGAAAACGAAAATGAAATTTAAAGAAAAAATAAAGTTGCAGAGTAAGTTAGAACTTACCTGAGATGGGATTTTGGCCTGATTCGATCAAGAGAACAGGAGAGCTTCGGCTAAAATCATGGTTTGAAATAGATGGCTGCAGCTGGGGGAACAATTTCTGTTAAAGGGAAAACAAAGCAATGCTGACTGATGCCCGACCAATGTTTTAAAGAGGGTGATGCTGCCGGCGAAGAACTACTTTGGGAAACTGTAGACGAAGAAAGAGACGAGATTTAGACTTCTGGAAAATCAACCCTATGCATCCCAACAGTCCTTAGTTTTCTTCTACATCTCCTCCGCCTGAAGCAGTTCAAACCCTGAACATTCATGGCACCGTAGCTCTTCTTGAGGAACTTGTTTTGATGGCACGCGTATAATATTGTCGGTGGTGTATAGTCTCAATGGCAAGCAGGAGGAGAAACCTTGAAGAAGAAGTGATAGAAGTCTCCGGTTTTTCGGAGGAAGTGGAGAGAGAGAGCGGGAAGATAGACATGAAAGCTGGGAGAGAGAAAGAAATGTGTCAAAGGAAGAGAGAGGAGTAGTGAGATGAAGTGGTAAGTGGAAGATGGGGAGAGCGGGAAAAAAGTTGTGTAAACATGAGGAAAACGTAAACACGCGTCGTACATGCAAAATAGAGGGAGAGACAAGTGGTTATTCATGCAAATTACACTTAAGCAAATAACAGTATTGAACAGTAAAATTCCGTTTTGATAAAGGGAGCTTTAGCTTTAATATATATATATATATATATATATATATATATAATTTTCAAAATCAATTTAAATTTCTTATTTAATTAAGAATAAATTTCTTAAAGTACACTTTATGATTTAGCGAATTGAATAAAAATATCTTATTATTTGAAAATTGACTAACATTATCTCTATTGTTTTTCACAATTGATTAACACTTCTTACCGTTAATAAAATAACCATTTTACACTTTAGATAAGTTCGTAGGTCTCAGGCCTCTCTTAATTCATGGCTATTCCACTGCAATGTTAGCGGACCGTATTCTTCCACATGAATCATCGGTGCTCTCTATCTTCAATACACTGCTTGCCATTATCCCACTGCATTGAGTCCGGTGAATTACAGCTTTAGAACTCAAGAAACCAGTATCAAAAGTCTCTTTCATCCTATATCATCTGATCTCAGCCGTGAATACAGAGAGATAGAGGGACGGAGAGGGAAGCAGTTGAGCTCCACCATGTGATTAGCCCTTCCGTCCAAGCTCCCTGGCAGCTAGCTAGACGAGCACCACCATAAGAAATTGAGAAGAAACTATGGCTTCTAAAAACCCAGATGACAGCGGTATTTACCTTTGAAAATCAACGAAGAATTGATAATCTATCAAATGGAGCATCGTCTTTAGCTTCCAGATATATCAAATGGGATGGAGGGAAAGGGGATTTGCAACTCGCAGATCCCAGATGATCTATCAAATGGTATATGCAACTCCTAGATCTGCTTCGAGCGGAGGGAAGGGGATTCATCTGTAACTCCCAGATTTGGGCAATACACAGTCCAACGCCAATGTGCTCTTGATCTGCAACTCCCAGATTTGCTTCAAGCAAAGAGAAGGGGATTCATCTACAGAGGGAAGACGATTTTCAAAGGTGAAAATTAGAGAGATGAAGAACGACTGCCTAAAGTTCGAGCTCCGAGACTCGCAGCGGTAGAGCAACGGGACAGAGCACCAAGACGCATGGACAGGAGCTTGTGACTTGTCGAGAGAGAGAGACTTGCAGCGGCGGATCAAAGGAAATTGTGCTTATTTCAGTGGCTTCTATATTCCTTCTTTAAGGTTTTAGTTTTTTCTCTTTCATTGAGTTTGTGTGGTTCACATCTATGAGAAACTAACGCAAGAGGTATTTCGTACATGTATGTGCCTTTGACGACAATCTGACTTGATTCGATTCTCTATTGTATCATCTGAAATCTTCGAAATTGCATACAACTAGACCTCCCTATGCAGTCTTTAAATCCCAGCTTGTAGATTCCTCACATTTTGTTTCGTCTAGTAATAGTCGCTAGGAGGAGAATACTAATAAAGAGAAGAAGAAGAAGAATACGAAATATGAAAGAGAGGATAGAAGAAGATGCATATATGGAAAATTTGTTCTTTTTCTTCTTTCAACCCCTTATTGTAAAGCAGTTGGAGTGGGTTGATCCATGATTAGTTCCCGCATTCTTGAATTGAAGCTTTTTGACCCCTTGAATTCTGATCTGGTTAGCTGTAGTTATATATTGTTGTTGTTGGGGTCCTCCTATTGGTTTATTCTTCTTCGTGTTCTTCGTCTTCAAGTGGCGGATGATTTATGGTGATGGTCTTTGCGTATCCTCCTTTTTATATCGAGATTTAAAGTAACTGTTTTCAATGGATATGTTCTACTCAGTTGTGCTTGAGCAGGCGAACCAGCGGTAGTAACCTCCCTCCATTGAATCGCCTTTTTTCTCTCTGACTAAAGCTCAACTAAAGACTATCAGAAACCCTTGTTGAATGGAGATGATATTTTAGGAACAAATGTGATTTTTTAGGAATGGAGATGGGAAGGGTATTTTTGGAATTTTTGATAAATATATTAGTCACGTGATATCAATTTTCAAACAGTTCAATTAGCTAAACCACAAAGGTAGTTTAAAAAATCCAAATAAATCTAATCAAAAGAAAATAAAAATATCATTTTTGCCTCTAATAAAACACGAACAACCATTCTATTTTTCTCTATTTGATCAATTTTGTTTTTTATACAAAAAAGGTGTTAGACGTATTGGGAATAAACAACAATAGATCCATACCCTTGAACATTTTCTACTCAGTTTAAGGGTACTCTTAGAATAAACAATCATGGATTCATGCCCTTAAACATTTTCCTTTTAGTTTAGATGATCATGTTACTATTTTCATTTGGTAAAGCAAGCGGTTATTAATGAAAGGTCGATTAAGTAAATATGTTGCAAATTACAAGAGACATTTTAGTAAAATGCAAACTATATGGTAGGTTTAAGTAAATCTATGAAAATTATAGGGGGTGTTCTAGTAAATGATTCTTTTTTGAAAAGTACTCAAATCTAATCATTAGCATACGAGTAATTATCCCGAACACGTGATGTCATGTGCAACTTAAACAATTTTACCCTCTTTTTCATTCAGCCTCTAAAACTCAATGTTTTTGATTGGTTGGTTGAATCATTCAAACCCTCACTTAGTCATGATTCTAAGTAAACCTAAAAATTGTTAATCAAGTCAAAAAAAATCTAACATGGTCGGTCGACCATTGATCATTCAACCCAGTGACCAAGTCATGAGTTGCATGTTAATTATGTATGCAAACTTCAAGATGTCATAACTTTGCACTACGATGTCTGACTAGGACAATCTCTTTTTCATTTTTGATAACTTTCTGAAGTCTATGCATCCCAATGTATTATAGGTGCCTTATTTAAAAAATAAACAGTTTTTTGGCCTCAAATCACAATTTTTAATATTTATTATAAATAATAAGTATAAAATATAAATTAAATATAAAATAATACATATATTATATATGAATATAATTATACATTATTTATTGATAAAATATGTGTTTACACACATATACATATGTATATAAATATATAACTATACATATAATTAAATATATAAAATGTTGATGCAATACAATTTGATTCATTCAACCATAATGATCAAACCAATGACCCATAACCTATAGACAAAAATGGTTCAACCTCTAAATCAATTTTTAAAACATTGTTAAAATCATGTCTTCCTATGAAAAACCCAAAGGAGAAGAATTGCCATCAAGCAAATCATTCAAATGGATGAGAGAAGAGAAAACTACAGAGAGAAAAAAAGAAAGAACAAAATAATAAAAAAAAAGTCTTATTTATTTATCAATTAGAGCAAAGCTTTTGTGGTACCCAGCTAAAACAGATGCAATAATAGCACTAGATGAATGGAAGAAGAGGACTAGAGGAGGTGGTGGTGGTGCTTATTTGGTTGAAAGTTTACTGAATACTGATGAGCCATTAACACAAACCAATGCTTGCCTGTACGTACGTCAGCCAAAAATTCAACCATAGCCAACTCAAGGTTTTGGTTCCTTTCAAGTAGACTCACAGCCCCCAAAAATTCAAAATAAGAGGAGATTTAGGAAAATAATGACGTGATGATCATGGAATAAATAAACCACGTATTAGTATTATTATATCCCAGGATTCATAGAACGTCTCTACCACTGTACAATATTAGGTTGGAGCGTTTTACAAGCGTTCGGTTTCTATTGATCTGTCATGTGTGTTATATAAGTAACTAGCGGGACTTTTTATAGTTTTATAGTATTTTATTAAAACATCATTTATAATTTGTAATGAATTTAATCAATATTTTATTAAATGACAGTAGAAAATGATATTGTTGACCTTAATGTTTATTTAAATAAATTCAATTAAAAGAAAATAAAAATATCAGTTTTGCCCTTAATAAGACACGGGCAACCACTCTATTGGCTATATTTGGTCAATTTTGTCTTCTATACAAAAAAGTGTTAAGGGTATTTTTGGAAAAAAATCATGGGTCTAATGGCAAAACAAACACTCCTTAATGAAAGGTTGATTAAATAAATAAGTTGTAAAATATATGGGATGTTTTAGTAAAATGAAAACTATAAGGTAGGTTAAAGTAAATATGTAAAACTATAAGGTGTGTAGGAATGGCAACGGGGCGGGGATCATATTCCTCGTCTTCGACCCCGATTCTGAAATTAATCCCCATCCCCGATCCCCGACGGGGATGGGTTTCCCGTGGGGACCCAAATCCCCAAAATGTTTTTTAGAAAAATAGTATTTTTTTAAATAAATTTATTTAAAATAAATACAAATTTTAAATTATAAATAATGTTTTAAATATGTTTATATATATATATATATATATATAATCAGGGTCGGGGTGGGGCGGGGACCTCAATCCCCATCCCTGATCCCGACTAGGGATTCCTATTAATCCCCG